GCTTGGCCTGCACGTTTGGGGCGGCTGGTCTGGGAACGGCTGCCTCCTGGGAAAGGTGCTGACGTGGGCCTCGGCGATTTCGCGGGGAAGCGTGGGCCCCAGCTAGGCCGGGGGCGCGGCCACACCCCTGTGGGGGAGGGGAGAGAGGCCTCCCCAAACGGAGTGGACAGCCCCCCTGTCAGTCTCCCGACCCGGGAGTGTAAGATGAGAAGGGAGAAGGTGGGCCTCACCCCGGGGAGGGCAAGGAGGAACTTCCTGCCTGTGCGCTCCACCGCTCCAAGCGCGCGGGCTGGGAGGCGGGAGGCGAGTCAAGGTCAGCCCGGAGCTCGGTGGCAGCCTGCCTGGGGGCGGGAGACCCTCCCGGGGGGCTGGGCCGGGGCCTCCAAGCGCCTCGGCCATATTGAACAGCCTCGGCTGAGCAGCCTTTGTCTGCGAAGTCCTCCCCGGGTGCCTGGGGCAGGAGGGACCACGGCGGCTCGTGCGCCCCAACTCGAACTGGGACACCACGTTTCCAGCTTAGAGTGGGACTGACCTCACCCCGGCTCACGTAAGCATCTTGGGGATTGAGTCCCACGAGTCCTTGGAGGTGAGCCGGACTTGGTCAAGACGATCTGCTGCAGGGGAGCCGCTGGGAGGTGCAACTCGCCCGGCTGCGCGGCTGAGACCTTTCCCCGCCTCCCCAAGACTAGGAACTACAAGTAGTTTACTTGGGCTCGTTGCCCCCCACCCGATTTCACCCTGGAGATCTTAAAGACTCTCGAGAAAAGCCATGTGGGGGGCTGGTTCCCCTGGGGCTTCCTGCCGTCCCCCGACTGCCTGATCCTCTGGAGCGTCCCCGACGTCTGCAAAGATGTGGATCTGGACGTCCTGGTGGAAGCCTTAAAGCCCGTGGGGACCTTCAAGAAGATTGGCAAGGTGTTCCGGAAGGAGGAGGACTCCACGGTGGGGATGCTGCAGATCGGGGAGGACGTCGACTATTTGCTCATCCCGCGAGAGGTCAGGCTGGCCGGGGGCGTCTGGAGGGTTATCTCCAAGCCCGCCACCAAGGAAGCTGAATTTCGGGAGCGGCTGACCCAGTTTCTGGAAGAAGAGGGCCGCACCCTAGAAGACGTGGCCCGTATTATCGAGAAGAGCACCCCGCACCCGCCCCAGCCCCCCAAAAAGCCCAAGGAGCCCCGAGGAAGGAGGAGAGTCCCGCAGATGCAGACTCCGCCTCCCCGGCTGGTCGTCGGCACCTACGACAGCAGCAACGCCAGCGACAGCGAGTTCAGCGATTTCGAGACCTCCCGAGACCCGGCCACCGCCAGCAAAGGCGCGGGGCGCGGCAGGAAGGTGCGCAAAATGCCCGTCAGTTACTTGGGCAGCAAATTTCTCGGGAGCGACCTGGAGAGCGAGGATGATGAGGAACTGGTGGACGCCTTCCTCCGGAGAGGCGAGAAGAGGCCCAGCACACAGCCCACCCGCCGCCGCGTCAACCTTCCAGTGCCCATGTTTGAGGACAGCCTGGGGCCCCAGCCGTCCAAGGCAGACAGGTGGCGCGAGTTTGTCAGCCAGGTGTCCTGGGGCAAGCTGAAGCGCAGGGTGACGGGGTGGGCACCCGGGTCCAGCTCCGCAGTGAGCGAAGCCCAACAGGCCCCCAGCGTAGTGGAGAGAGATGGGGCACCCGAGCCAGGAAGCTACAGCCGGGGAGACAGCGTGGGGAACTCAGGGGATGGGCTGGCACGGGACACCTCCAGGCGGTGGAGGCCCAGAATCAACTGGGCCTCCTTCAGGCGTCCCAGGAAGGAGGAAGCAGCCTCCACTGCTCAAGAAGCAGAGGCCACAGCTGAGCAGAGGGCAGGGGACGCTGCTGACCAGGGGGAGGAGGCTGCAGCTGACCAGGGGGAAGAGGCCCTAGCTGAGCAGGGGGCAGGGGTCCCAGTTGACCAAGAGGCTGCGAGTGATCAGAGGGTGGAAGCCATGGCTGAGCAGAGGGCGGGGTCCCCAGCTGATCAGGAGGCAGAAGCCCCAGCTAGCCAGGAAGCTGACGCCTCAGCTGCCCTGGGGGCTCCAGGGACTGCCCCAGGACCTAGAACCCGGAAACAGGTCAAGACAGTGAGGTTCCAGACCCCCGGGCGCTTCTCATGGTTTCGCAAGCGCCGGAGAGCCTTCTGGCACGCTCCGCGGCTGCCAGCGCTGCCCAGGAGAGTCCCCAGGGCAGGGGAGGCCAGGAACCTCAGGGTGCTAAGAGCCGAGGCCAGAGCAGAAGCAGAGCAGGGAGAGCAGGAGGACCAGCTGTGAGGAGGGTGGGTTGGGGCCGTGCCCTAGACCCCCACCACCTGCCTGGCTCCAGCCTCGGCGCCACTCCCTCGCCTAAGCTTAGACCACTCCCTCGCCTAAGCTTAGGCCACTCCCTCTCCTAAACTTCCGCCGAGGGGCTTTCTGCCTCCACCCGTGAACCTGGAGGCAGAGAGGTGGGCGGACAGCGCTCCTACCGACCCTTTTCTTTTTTTGTTAAAGTTTTGTCTCGCGCATATATATTTGACATCATGGGATTGTATCACCCGTGGTTTTAACTTCCTCAAATACAATTCTAGGTGCTTGGCTTGAGAAAGGGAGAGAGGGTGAGGAGAGAAATTCCTTTTTTTTCCTTTTCTTTTTTAAAGAGGTTTTTGCGTTAGAGCAGGTGCACTCCCCAGAGAGAGAGACAGTGAGAGGAGAAGTGAGAAATGACCCCCAGAGGGGATGGATTTGGGGCTATGGAATTCTTGGGACAGATCATTTAAAAATGGTCTTTTAAGGTCACACCGATAATTAGTTGCCAAGCTCGAAGGCGAATTTCTTCTCCTGTGCTCTCGCCGTGAAGAATTTGCAATATAATGTCCTTTATGTTTTCTCTTGATCATGCTTCTTGGGGGAGGTGGGAATGACTAAGATAGATGTCTATGAAAGAATGAATATTGATGACACATTATGTAAGGCTCAATGAAAGTTGTGAATTCACCAGATGCTCGGAAGTCAGCAGCTTCTCTATTATGCATTTCCTTGGTCTCAGCTTGGATGTTTTCCAAGAAGCGGTTGCAGAAGCAAAGGGGGGACCCCGTGTGTGTGTGTGTGTGTGTGTGTGTGTGTGTTGTCACTTTGCCCACCATCCTCACACCCCCGTGTTCTGCTAGTTTGAGGGGTACAGGGCCCACACTTGCACACTTTACCCTGATCTTGGTTATGAGGTATAGAAAAATTATCTAGGAACTGCACTGAAAATGCAGATTCCGGGGGCCAGCAGCTGGCGCGCTTGTTAATGCACTAGACTCCCACATGGCTGACCAGGGTTTGAGTCCCAGACCTGGTGGCTTGCTTTCTTACTTTCCTCTCTCTCTCTCTGTCTTTTTCCCTGGTGAGCACACAGGCCCTGTAGCAAATTTTAAAAAATAATAATAATGAATAAAATTAAGTAATTTCTTTAGAAATGCAGACTCTGAGGCCATTGGCACCAGAGGTGCAGACCTGCTAGAGCTGGTTGGGTGGCCCTGGGGTCTGTTTCTATTGAACACCACAGAGATCCGGAGCAACTCGGTCATTGAACACATTGAAAAGTCATCACTGGGCCAGCAAGTGGTTAAGGGCGCTGGACTCCCACATGGCAGACCATGGTTCAAGTCCCGGACCTGGCAGCTTGCTTTCTCACTTTCTCTCCCTTTCTCTCTCTCTCTCTCTGGTCAAATTAAAATAAATAAACAAAGTTAAAATAATACTTTAAAAAAAAAAAGAAAAGAAAAGAAGTCATTACCATAGGAACAGGCCAAGTAGGGGTTTCCAGTGGTGTCATGACTGCTGTGGGTTTTTTGCCTTTTTTAGTTGCCAGAGGCCATGTGTGCCCACCGGAGAGGAAGAGGGAGAGGGCGTCCTGCAATCCCGCAATCCCGGCTCCATTTCCCCGCGCTGCCAGGGCTTCAGACACACGTAACCTGCCAGGACTTA